TGATTAAAAAAAAAAAAAAGAATGAAGTGACTGTATGTTTTTTGAAAAAATGTGTGTATAAATAGATGTGGACAAAGATGTAAATAAATCATAAAGAATAGCAACTGTGAACTGGAAAAGTGAAATATACTACTAGAAACGGAATATTCTTGGGTTATGACAAAGGTGCCACAGAGTGGAATAGGGAACTGCTGACCTTGCCATTAGAAGCCCAGCACTTAAGCCACTGTGACACCAATTCTCTTTCTCATATAAATTATGCTCAATTAGATGAGGTAAAAATGTATGTATGTCAATCAGCATCCCAAAAATTAAGTTCTGGTACACATGACAAAAGTATGTATGTCAATCAGCATCCCCCAAATTAAATGGTACACATTCCAAAGTTTCAAAAATAAACACTATTGACTAAAATTAGTCACTAATAGTGGCATTAATTAATGGCACCTAACAACAGCAACAGAAAGTCTCTAGATGTTTTCAGAGAAATGGTTCTCCCATAAAGGCACCATCAGTATAAATGATAAAGTGACCTGTGTTAACATGGATTTATTCTATTCACGAAAGGACCCAATGTGACCATAAAAATAGGAGACACTGAGAAAATTAAGTGTGCTTGAAACTTACAAACACAAGAAAGATTTCATATTCAAAATGTATTAAAAATCTATTGGAGGAAAAAGAGTGACAATCCCAGAGATAACATAGTCAAGAGACAGGAAGAGGCACTTCATGAACCTGGATAGGATAGTGGGTAATAGCACTGAAATACTTAACATACATTTTCCTTATTGTCATTATTAAACTCCTGTTAAGTGCATTTTAAGTGTTCCATCTAATAGGAATAAGAACATTTCATATTAATCTAGTAATGCTACTATTATATATTCATCATAATTTCTAATATTAAAATTATTATGTTTGTAAGTTTTGAGGAGGACTGGATCAAGGAACAGGATCAAAACTTAGGTAAATGGCTATGTATCTCATGAATTAGTATGTTTGGGGGATAACTTTTTTTTTACAGGTGTACAATTTATTGATGGTATTTAATTTTTAATTCAGATTTTTCTTTCTTTTAATCATTTTATGGGGCTCATACAACTCTTATCACAATCCATACACACATCAATTGTGTAAAGCGCATTTGTACATTCATTGCCCTCATCATTCTCAAAACATTTTCTCTCCACTTAAACCCCCGGCATTAGGTCCTCATTTTTCCCCTCCCTCCCTGCTCCCCTCTCCCTCATGAGTCCTTGATAGTTTATAAATTGTTATTTTGTCATATCTTGCCCTGTCCTACGTCTCCCTTCACTGGGGGATAACTTTGAGACATCGATGAACACATCCACTATGCCCTCCTACTATTTCCCCATTCAAGTAGGTAAGATGTGGACCAGAGACTTTCTGAAAGATCTTAGAGAAACATCCAAACCCAACTCACGGCCCTCGAGTCGATACAGACTCACAGCTTCCCTATAGGACCCGGTGCGTCTGCCCTGTTTGAGGTTCTGAGACGGTAATTGTTACTGGTGTAAAAGACCATCTTCTCCCACAGAGCAGCTGGTGGTCTGAACTGCTGACGTTGAGAATCACAGCCAAATGCAGAACCAGTAAGCCACCAGGGCTCCACAATCATGACAATATTCATTACAATTGTTAAATAGTGGATAAATATTTTCATAAGTCCTAAATTTCTAACCAGCATAGATGAATTTTAGAATGCTCATGTCTGGTGATGCATATGGTTAAGTGTGTGACAACTCACTAAAATGTTGGTGGCTCCAATCCACTTAGTGGCACCTTGAAAGCCACTCCTGGCAACCTGCTTCACAGAAGTCCCCACTGACTGCACTTGAACCAACTTTGACTCAGAGCAACCTTATGTAGGGAGTCCAAGAGATAAAAATCTCTAGAGGAGCAGAAAACCTCATGTTTGCCTTTCATGTGTGTCTCTTCTTTTGGGGGATGAGCTACTTTCATAGTACAGCCAAAAATCAATTAAAGTGTGCATACTGAATATTTGCATTTATATCAAGTGTCCAATCAAACAAAGCCTATCTTTAATAATGAAAGTAAGGACAGTGGTTTAGAAAGAGGAAGGAGAAACAGGGGCAGAGCTGATGGAAGCTAGCATTTTCGGTTTCTTGAACTGATTTGACCTACATTGGCCTGTTCTCTATTTTGCACAATCTGAATAGCTTTATTTCTATATGGTAAAATTAAATAAAGTTTATTTTCAAAAGTGTGTAAAAGTACTATTTTTCATAAAAAGGAAGAATTGGAAACAAACCAGTGTGCATTAAATATAAATAAGCATGGTCAATTCAAAGAATCGAGTACTAGTAGCTTTAACAATAAATAAAAAGCAACTCTAGACAACCTTTGAAGACTCTGAGAAGCAAGGAGGGTGAGACTTTGATGTGATTCCTTCAGACATGTTATCAGTACAGACCAGTCCTGAGAAAAGATGTTTTGGTGAAATAGAGGTCAGTGAGAATGAGAGGCACATTTAATGAGATGAGTCGTCAACAGTGGATTGAAACACACTGATGATCACAAAGACAGTTCAGGACACTACAATAATGTTACAAAACAAAATGTATATGAGTTGTTGAAAGAAAAATTATTCCTCTGTAGACTTTCACTCAAATAACAAAAGAACCTTAAAAAAATTAATGCACATGATTGCATTTTGTTCTATGGGGTTGCATAGGTCAGAGCCTACCCAGGGCCACAAACATGGATAAAAATATAGATGGATTCAAGGAACAAAACAGCAACTGAAATGAGTAAGACACTAAACAGTTCATATTCTATTTATCTAAGTTTGCAAAGTAGGCAAATCTGATTCTTAACGCGTATAGGAAACGCAGCAAGTCAGTAATATTATAGCATGCCAATAACAAGATAAATACTTATTATGCACTTAAATATATTGTACATGCATTTATTTTTGTATATCTTTTAGTAAAATACTTAAGATCTTTGAAATCTTACCATTTCTTCATCATTTTCTGTAATAAGTAGAATAGATTTTTTAGAAGCACAGGCGATCTTGCTCTCAGCCCAGTTTTTCTTTTCAGTACTAATGTAATAGTAATTGTTGGAATGGCAAATCCAATCCTGCCTGCAACTGTCATAATTATGTGCTGAAAAAGATTATGAATTTATATCACGAAGCAATTTGAATTAAAATATCAATCTATATATTTTCATATACATATGGACATATAGCATAGATATGTGATCTCATAAAACTATATATGAGAACAAATCAAATACACAGTGTCAGCCTCCCGCCCCTTATTTAAGTAGCAATAAAAAGTAAATCATCAGTCTATGCTACCTATACATGCCCTGAAAAATGACTGAGCAATTCTACTTCATAGAATAGTAAAATTATCTGTCTTACATCAGGCTGTTGTTGCTTTTATTCAGTTGCTATGAAGCTGGTTTTCAACTCATAGCAACCCACGTGACACAGTTTAACTCCCTCATAAGACTCTCTGGGCTGTAGTCTTTATAGAAGCAGTAGAAAATATGAATCAACTCAAAAGAATATAATAATTTTAAAAGAACGTCTCCTAAATTTTGAATAAGAATGATCTCATATGTTTATATTTATGAAAATATCTTGTTATATTTTGATTCCTTATTAAATTTCTTAGTACTTGTTCATGGCCTAAAATATAGACAAAGCTTAATCCTTTAGAACTTTGAAAACGATTTTACCAATAAAAATGAGTAAAGTACTAAAATTATATGGGAACATTTTTAGCCTCTTAATAGACAAGTGATCCATCATATAATCTTAATCTATCAGAATTTTAAAAATTATTTCTTACCTTTCTGAGTATTGTTTTTCTCTGGTGTTCCAACAGCTAAGAAGGTGAAAGTAATTCCCATAGAGGTTATTATTTTGTAATAAATTATAATAATTCTATATCCTATTCTATAATTTGATATTAAAATAATGTAAGTGAAAATTATTTTACCGTAAAAATAGATTAAGTGATAAACTTATTTGGAAAAACATTTGGAGAGCCTAAAAGACAAATGTTACAATCTCTTAAAGTATTTAACTTCTTTTAAAAGTTAATTTTTAATTCTCAGTAAATGTTTTCATTCTCTCAATGAAAGTTTTTGAAGTGTGACCAACATAAACACATATGTGCATGCACACGCATATAATGCAAACATTTAGAATTAAAAACAAGTACTCCCTACAACCATTCTGTTGCTTATACTATTTGAAGATTTAGAATAACTTTTCCATGTTTAACCTATGTTGATTAGATATTTGTTATTTGACAAGTTTTAAAGACTTGGTATGTATATGACACAAATGCATACTTTTAAATGAGTTCCATTCCCTAATATAAGGAAACATATGGAGGCATCTTCAAAGATTTAAAGAAATATTGTACTATGATATTACAGAAGCTTACATGGAGTATTGGTTATCAGGGCGATTACGCCAGCCATTAAGACAATGCAGATGATTCCCAAGATTCCAGCAGTGAGCTTCTCTGGAGGCGATGAGCGATATTTGGAAAGAGAAATGGAAACATGGGAAAGGATCAATGGTGCCAATGTTTAGAAAGTGTTGAACAAGAGACTTGAGTTTCTTGGAATCATAGACATAAAAAGTGGACATTGAACTCACATTCTTCATTATAATTTTTATATCAGAATAAACCATTTTGGTATTGGTAAAATGATAGCTGAAGAGCTTTTAGGAAAGTTTTAAAATGCCTGATAGAATTAAGCTTCAGATTTCACAGTAGAATGTGATGTCTATACATCAGGTTCGATCTTGAAAAACAAAACCACTGAGCCTGTTCCCTTAATTTGAATAGCCTTGCTCCATGTCTAGTCTTCACTCTTTCCCAACATGCTTGCAGTAAAACTCTATGCCCTAATGCATTTATGAGACGGTTAAATATTTTACCTTTGAAATGGACATTCTTCTTATTCTTTGGAAGATCTTGACAAGTATTTTGAAGATTTAATTCCACATAAGTAATTTCCTGCTCAGCAATTGGCATGGAGCTATTAGCATCCTTAGGTTTCTTTTGCTGCCTTTTTGAGCTCTTGGTCAGATTCAGTTCTGAGTATAATATTGTTTGATTATTCATCTCTGTAGCTGAGCAGTGTCAAAGTCTGTGCTCTACTGTGCACTCTGCCTCAGAAGGAAATAAACGTTGTATATATATCACCAGATCAAAGCAGGTGGGGAGGCAGGGTAAGTATCAGTGTTCACTTAGCAGTTCAGAATCTAAAGCTCTTTTTCTAAGTTATTAAGAGGTGTACATAAATGTTTCTTTCTTGGTGGAATAAATTATTTTTAAAAAATTTCCTGCATTTGATCAAGTGATATTGGTTGGAATAATAAAAGCAATTAATTACTGAAAAATAAACATGTTCAAAAATTAGAATAAACTTACTTAGTCCAACTGCATAGAAATATTTTAAACTTTTCTAATACATGGGTTTAAAATTAAAATGCTGTATTGTGAGGAAAATGATTAATCAATTTAGGTAAATTTTGTAATATAATAATGGCTAAAGATGGAATGCTTTACGGATGTGGACATTGGAAAATTCGAGCACATAATAATTTATTGCACCAACTTTTCTTGATTTATTTACTTGTTTATTTATTAAAAGAAGATGAGGTCTTATTATATGGTCAATTCCTTAACAATTAATGGGTGGAGGATTCTGAGACATCATTATATATTTCAGGAAATATGCTTCAAAAAAAAGTACATGATACAATAAATTTATCAACAGCCCTACAACATTGGAACCCCATTTTAAATTATTTGAAAATTATATTTCTTATGCAATAATATTGCAATTGATTTGCTTGCTAAAATACATGATCCTAAATGGATATATAGAAGTGCATATCATTTATGGAAGAACAGTGTCAACTCAAACTTCCAGAGAGTCACGGTCTGTGACTTTGGTTGTAGAAGTAATTGTTTATAGTCCAGTACTGTAATTTAATAATTTTCTCATTGACTCTAGAATTACCATGATCAAGAAGTTAATTCTAAATAAAAAAATATTTAATGACTAGCCATATGATCTCATAATCTAAAATGAGAGTTATAATATATAAAATCAAATACATGTAACAACTTTTCTTTCAACCTGGAAATTATAAGCCCTGAACTGTGTTAATTTTATTTCTGCCAAAGTTTCTTATGATTCCTTTCCTTTCTAGTAGGTAAATATTGTCATATAATCCAGTAGGCAGCTCCCTTATATTAATGTGTTTCCTTCACAGTGATTTGATAAATATGCTAGCCTCTTGGTGTTTATTACTAACTTTATATTAGTAAATTCTGTAAACTAATACATCCTTAAAATAAAACTGTCTACCTAATCTAAATAAATAAATGAGAAATTGATTTTAGCTTTGAATCATTTTATCATTTTAAAAAGAATAATATAATACATAATTACACAAAGATACTCCTTGATCCAGTTTTTAAAACTCAAGAAACAATTATTCACATTCATGAAACATAGATTTTACTTTAAATTATGTTAACTAACAAATCCCAAAATGTGTGTGTACACTTGATTTATCCACTATATGAATTAAGAAATCCTCCCAACTATTTTACATTTGAAGAAAACTTTTCACCCTAATTCAAATGCTTGTAGTGATTTTATGGCATATTCATAATACTTCAGTCACATCCTGCACAGCATTTGCAATCCCTCACTAAACGCGACAAACTAGAAGCCAGTGGGAAAGGTACATACCTTCTGTCAGTTGGAAAGCCTTGGATTCATTAATCAGGAAATCTTATTAATTTCCTACAATATCAACTATGTAACAGGGTAATAAAAGGCAAAATCTAAAGACATAAATATAGTTAAAAAACAAAAAAGAATGTGCTCTTCACAGACTCTTCTGTGAGGGCTCAGAGTGAGGCAAGCAGTCAAAAGCAGATGGCTCTTAATCTCTGAACAGGAAATTCTCACATTTGACCATTTGAAATGAGTTTATGTCATCACACACCCTCAGAACATAGATGTTGACCTATTAAAAATACAAAGTAGATCTTTAAACCTTTTAATATAGATTATCCTTTATAATGAACTTTTGATAAATTGTTTTCATATTCTATAAGATATTGCATAAAGAAGGTTTGATCACTCCTGCAGTTTCCTTGTTTTCATCACACCATCCAGTATTACATTTAGGGCAACTTTACAATATTTTAGATGCTTTCATCCTATGTTTAGACTCTACAGTAGACCTGTGCCATTGCATCCAGAGACAGTTCCTGAGTGGTTGTAATCTTGTAAAACCCTTAGAGCAGTGCTACTCTGCACACATGGGATCACCGTGAGCTGGACAGAGCATGAAGGAAACCAACAGTGACAATTATATTTTCAGATAATAAATTAAAAATTGTATTAAAGTCATCTTTAAAATATGGGGGAAAAAATTCCTATATACCATTATTCCATTTTTCCACAATTTTTCTGAAGTCCCATCAAATGTATGTATGTACATGTGTATTTTTATATTTATTAGTAATCAACTTTATTTCTATTGACTGTATTATATTTTTTAAACTAAATAACCTTCCTCCTTTCCTCTTATTATACACATTACATAATGTAAGCAATAAATTATTCCACAACAATGGCAAATAGTAAATATTTACTTCTTTTAAAACTGAAATTATTGTGCTTACTATTCCTATTGGTGGTCTATTTTGGAGTATTCCATTCAACACTATTATATATCACTTGATTTTATCTGTGCACTAATAAGGATTGGTCTTTATACTATTTACACTTAACAAAATCTCTTATCATAAAGTTACTAAAATATTTGGAATCATTAAAATTCCCTTTGTATGATATAGCTGTGTGTAAGAATCTGTGAGTACATATGAAAATGGCAGAACCCTGTGTCCAAAGAAGAGTTTCCAGGAATTGCATGGACTTATTCATTAATCTAATTAGACGTAAGGTTAGTAGTTTCAATCTACTCATACTTTCCTATGAAGACAGACCTGGGAACCTATTTCTGAATGACCAGAGCATTGACAACTCTACAGAGAACACAGGAGGTCACCTTAAGTTGGAATGAACTTGATGGCAGTTAACGGGGACAAGTGTCAACAATAGATGGCTAAATTGCAGTTCACTTACAAGTAAATATGTCTTTCTAATTTATAAATGTAATAAGAAATAAAATTATGACATTTTCAGTGATTTTTTATTAAAACAAGGAATTTATAACCAATTCTCAATAAAGGAAACATTAAGCATTTTATTCAATATAAAAACTTATGCCATATAAAATATATTATGCACAGAATATATTGAAAGAGTTGAAGAGTTGAAAAAGGAAAATTAGTTGCTACACATAACTGAGCATTTATTATATATTGAATGGATATTATCTATCATAAAATACTAGTAAGATAGATCCCAACTTGAAAATACATATTCACATTGTAGTACAGCGAGCAGTTGGAGCATAAGAAGTCCTAAACAAAGGTGGAAAATATTTTCATTGTTTGAGAATATGCAAAAATAATAATGTTTTAGGATTTAAGAGGTAAAATGTGAGTGTTATAAAATGTAGAGCACCACTATAAGAATAATTAAAACCATTGAATTTATAAGAATTTTATAGAAGAGAACAATAAACATATTCACTTACAAAATATAATAAAGCAAAAAAATTCATGCTTGCAATGCAAATGAAACAAAATAGCAAGTGATAGAGATAAAATCAAAGTCAATGATAATAGATTAAATATTAATAACCATTTTTCATTTCAAACATTGAGAGTATTTGATTGTATTGAAAATAAACATTAACTAGTTTAAAGGAAAGATGAAAGTTAAATGATTTAAAAAATACCACACTATACAAAGTAGAAGAAAAATGCTATAGTTAAAAGGTTGTCATGTTATAAGGTTATACGTGTTATTGGACATAAAAAGACATGTTTCACAATGTTAGACAATCCAAACCACTAATAATATTATTTTAAAATATGTATATAACTAATGATTGTAATAGGTAATGTAATTATAGAATATCTGTAAAGGTTGAACCTAGAAATTAAAGGTGTGAACCATTATCAATAAAAATTATTAAAAATATTAATAAAAAGAAAAAGGAAATTGTAAATACTTTCACTACTTTGATTCCTGGAATCTGAGATCAAACGGACGTGTCAGTCTTGTTGTTAGGTGCCATTGAAGTTCACTCGACACAGAAGGAAACCCTATATATTCCTGCGATCCCCTCACTGTTGTTACCAGGCTGAGCCCTTTACTGTCGTCTATAAAAGCACCCAGACACAATACACATAGAATTCAATCTTCAATTTAAGTAAGGAGAGTCCCCAAATATATTATACAATATGCTCTTCATATCCATTACACAAAATATCTATATAATAATATTTTCCAATGGAAGAAAATATGACAGAAATGCAACATCGAATTATTTTTTAATTTTTAGAAAAGCGAAAGTGCAAAGAATGCTTTGACCCGAAAAAGTTTTGTTGAAAATATAATTTACATTTAATGTGAAATGTTGAAGTTTTCCTCTACAATAATTCATTATATATCTGGAAACTTTATTTCATCCTTTCTTCAACATTGAAAACAAAATAATAACTGAAAATCATTCAATAAAATAGTCATTTAAATCTGAAAAATAAAGTGATTATTTGTAGTTAAAAATCGCTGTTTACATATAGAAGCCAGAATAATATGTAAATAAAATAATAGAAATAATATGGATGTCAGCAAAGTCAGACTGTTAATTAAATACACAAATGTCAATTGTCCAGTAGAACCTCGATTCTCGACCGCATCAGTACTAGACATGATCAGAATTCAATGTGAAATGTCAAGAAAATTTTGCATCAGAGCTTGAACAAAACATTGGAATATGACCCAACACACCTGATTTTTGTTAACAAGCAGTTCATGTTTCGGTCACTTCATATTTGTTGGTATTGTTAGTACTCGTGTAAACCTTTTGCAGCTGTGTTCTGAGCATTTTGCTAAAATTTTCTTAATTTTTTTACTTTTTGTACTGTTTTTAGGCAAAAACACTAGTCCTAAGAGTTTTTGAAAAGAATCATCATGAAAAGGAATTGGTTATTTCTGTTATCAATATTGTTGATCACAATTTAGTACACCCTTTTAGAAAAGGAGATTCTCCTTTCAAACAAAGACTCTCTCTCCATACCTCCTATCCACATTGGTGTCCACAGATCCATATCCTCATCATTTTCAAGGTATGGACTATACTGTAGTTGTTTAAAACTTTTTAAATGCCGTGTTTCTTATGTAAATTATATTATTTAACTCTGTGTTTATTTACTTTGAAATTTCTGTGTGATGTTTTATATAAAAAGGCAAGGTTAGGGTAAAAACTTGGTGGTTGAGAATGGAAAAATTCATTTTTAGTTATTTCTTATGGGAAAAATTGTTTTGGAAATCGACTACATCCCATCTCAGCGGTCCGTCTAGAACGGAGTAGTATCGAAATCTAGGGTTATACTGAATTTCTATTTTCAGTCAAAAATTATGAATCTAAATTTTAAAGAAGGATGCCATTGAAAATCTTGAAATTACGAAATACCTGTATTTCTGCATGTTTGATGCATAAAATTATAAAATAAATTGAAGAAAATGTAAACAAAGGAAGCAAAATACCATGGTATTGATTGAAAAGTGTATTCTGAAAAGATGTCAAGCTATTTCAAATTATTTTTTAAGATAATCTCACACAGATACCTCAAAGATGGCATCCAGGTAGAATCACCTGCCTGGCGCTCCTGCTGTTAGACCAGAAAATTACGAGGTAAGGAGACAAACACAGTGAGGCTGGTTGCTAAAAATAGATTCAGTTATTAAGGTATAGTTCAGACCTCCCCCTTTGATTTTCACCCACCAAGTGATTTGAGAATGCTCTACGTTCACTGCATCTGCCAGTGGGCTCAGCTAATCCATTGACAGGTGAAGCAGAACAGTGTCTGCCACCCTTCCAGCATCCTAGACTGACAGCGAGCTCTAATTTCCTCAGACTGTTGTATAAAAGTGGTAGTAATCCCAGGCACACAGAGAATCTCTGAGAACTAGCCACTAGACTTCACACGTGAGTTCCCCTCTGAGCTATCCAACCTGTGCCTACAGTCTAGAGCTTTGAAACTCCCCTCCCCAGCCAGGAATGGAGTGACTACATTGGCCATCCCCTGTCTGCTTCTCCTCAGTTCCATCTCTGCCACTGTGAGTAATGATAGCTACTTAGGCAATAATTTGCAGCAATTGAAGAGGTGCTGGGATATTTACCTGTAACAGAACGCAGTTCCCTAGAGCACAACCAGCAGTTCTGGCAGGATAGAACCAGGAGTGGCTCAGGAGAGCAGTTGGGTGCAAATTCAGATCCAGTCTGCCGCAAACCCACTCCACTAACCTGGCCCCTTCCCTGAGGAACAGTGTGGCACAGCCCAAATATCCACTAACCTGGCCCCTTCCCTGAGGAACAGTGTGGCACAGCCCAAATATCAAAGCACCCTCAAGCGCATTATAAAACAAGGGGAAAAAATTTAAGAGTTTTCAATTCTAGGCTGTGATCCTTTGTGTAACTTTGAATGTAAGCCTCCAGAACTTGGTCCATTAGCATAACATTAACATACAAAGGTAGCCAGAACTAAAATCTGCAGATGATAGCCTAGGATTTTAACATGCCAGAACTGGGAAAGCCAACAGGTTCTGATAACCACAGCTCAAGGCAAAAATTGGCCCTACTGCATTTGGATTCTGCAGAGAGTTTTAAGACGGTTGAAAATTGTGGCCTGGCAGTGCAGACCAAGACCATCCCCACCCTGCAGCCCCATCCCAACCAGCCAGTGGGA